ATGAGGGTAACTGGTATTCAAGAGACCTTTTTCTTTGGGGAAGACAGATGAAGAGAAAGCTGGCTTCTGTGCCAGATTTTTTTTTTTTTTTCCTTGTCTAGAATTGGTGGGGGTGGGGGGCAGCAGTGAAAGAGATTATTCTTAAACCTTGTGTGTTTAATCCTGCTAAATGCTGCTCTCTCTGATCTTACTGATTAACATTTGAAGCCTATAAAGCTAGGGTATCAGTTATTTGAAACTAGTGGCATATAAACATTTTAATTAAAAGGAAAGGAAGAAAGGAGGGGGGGGGTGGTGGAGAGGAAGACCAGTATTACAGTGCCTGCTCTGTGGAAGAGATGTCCACAAGTATTTTGTTACTTGCTTTACAGAGTATTGGAAGATGTGTCTTTTTCTCCAGAGAACTTGATGTCCAGAAGATTTGCATTGCTTTAGTGTTTCTATAGCTTCAATTCTATACATTTTATAGGTGTGTCCTTTGCATATTTTTTGCTTGGTGCAGAGAGGAATTTACTCTGAGGATGTGATGGTGAAGGAGGAAACACAGGACCTGTAGCAGAAGGAGCAAGAGGGCATTATTAAATTAATGAAGTTGTGTATTGCAGGAGTAATAGGAACAGGTAGCCTATAAGAACCTTATTTTTAAGAAAAGGAAGACTTAGCCTGCAGAGCTGTATGTTGCTATGCTTCTAGTGGCAATAAATATCTTTAAGAACACGGAGGTAGTTTCAGCTGAAGTTTAGCAATTTTTAGCTAATACAGAAAGAGGGTGTTTATTCCATAATCCTCAATGAAGTAGATGTTCTGGGGTTGTACTGAGAGGAGTTGTTTAAAGCTCCTGCACTTCCCTCTAGTCTGTTCTTTCTCATTAGGGCTCGTACAACTGGTTATACAACAATATTGTAAAGCAAAGCAGGGAATGTGCTTAAGATACTGTAAAGAGGCCTGTTGTTTTGGGTTTTTTTCTTTAAGATAAATCAGTTCTTCATTCAGAATAACCTTCAGATTTCATAGCGTTACTCTATGAATGCTGTGCAGGCACAGCTCTGGGGGAGCAGGCAGAGCCCAGAGGCATTTCCAGGAGCTTGACAAGCTCCACATTTGTTTTGTGCCACCTCAAACCAAGAGGGACATACCTGTAGTCATGTTGATCCCAAGACCTTGTTGTCATTTCAGCTATGAAGCTGCTTCAAGTGTCATACTGAAGCCAAGCTAGGGGAAACCATTTTTGAAATTATGGATAGTGTATGCACTTGGGATTTATTTTACAGTAGACTCGATGCTCAGCAAGGGCTTGCTGCCCCTAATAAAGTGTTGTCCTATTTTTAGCCCTGTCACTTCCTTTGCAGTGTATGTCGTTTCTCTGGAGTTGATCTTCTATCAGATGAGCAGGCTCTCCAGTGCACCAGAACAAATATTTGTGTTGTTTCCATGAGATGGTTGAGCTGATGTGGCCGCAGGCAGGGATGGGGGCAGCAGTGGCCAGAGCTGTGGGAGCATGCCTGCCCCTCTGAAACCTCTAGTGGTTTCAGCAGTGACTGCACACCTCCACTGCTTTATGGGATGTTTGGGCTCAGTGACACTGTGCGTCATGAGGCATTACGGTTTTGAAACAAAAATCATCTGAGGCTAAGCCAAGAACTGGACTGATGGGAGGTCCTTCCCTCCCTCAAGAAACATCTGCTCAGTGATCTCTCACTGTTCATGTTTGCTGCGATGGGGAGATGGGGCCAGAGTCCAGCAGCTCTGCTGGTGGCAGCTTGCCTGGGGCCGGAGTCCCTGTGGCAGCAGCGCTGTGCCATCCGGGCCTGCCCTCCCACAGGAGTGTGTGTGTGCAGGAGAGGCTGGAACTGCCAGTACTTGGGTCTCTCATTCTGTTTTCCATGTCTCTTTTTGGCTAGTGGTTCTCTTAGCAGCTCTGCTGCTGATACAGGCATTTCCACATGAGTCTGCAGCTAGACCCTCTTTCCTGCCCAAATAGCACACACACGTGACAAATGAGCTCAGAAACCAATCTGTGTTGAAACTAATTGGCAGAAGGTGGAGTGTTTGATTAATTCTTTAAAGTTTGATCATTTCCTTGTTTCATATTGGTAGATGTGAGCACTGAAAGGGAGGGCTAAACATGGGAGTGTTTATTATATTAGTTTGGCATTCTGTGGCTTTAGGGTTCAAATAGATCACTTCAACCATCCCGGGAGCTTACAAGCTGCTGAAGCGTGTGTTGTCCCTCCTGGTCACATGTCCTCCCTCACATCAATTCCAGAGGCTCTCCTGTGTTGGACTTTCTGCTTGTGTTTCTGCATGTGAACTGATTGATCTTACTGAGCTGTCAGAAAACTTTGTGCCTGGTGATGGTCCTTTCTTTTCCTGGTGGGTTTTTTCAGTAGCTCACAGCAATAATTGTGTGGGTTAGGTGGGTTGTACCCAATTGTCCCCTTCATACCCAGCAAGCTGTTGTCTTGGTGCAAGGTCTCCTTTGACTTCATAACATTGCGTCAGGTTGATCCTATCTCTTATTCATTGTATTTCTCAAATATTAGCAACCAATGAAAGATCTTCCGCTTCCTGTGGCCCTTATTAAAACTCTTCAGAAGAATCCCTGGCACTTCCCCTTGGAGATTGAAGTGTTCTGGAGCCTCATGCCAGTGGCTTGAGCTTTGACTGGTGACAGGATCCACTGGTTAATGAACTTGGGAACTGGCTTAGCTGGAACTCGGGCCAGCTTTTCTTGTTTTTCGTCTGGGCATCTTTGGGCACCTTTTACAGTTTGTTTATTGAATTGGAGCAGAACTATTTTTTTTAACATCCATGTTAGAGGTTGTTATTTCGTGTTTGCATTAGAACCTGGTCGCTTCAGCAAGTTGTGTTGGGGAATATTAGCAGTGGCTGGTGCAGTTACTGAGTTACTGTGTGCTGCTTGAAGCTAATATTGAATGGAAAAAAAATCATGGTACAATCTGGAAGTTAGTGTAGGGTTCTTTAATATGCTGCTGCCTAAAGTTAAAAGGATTAATACTGTATTGTGACATCGAATCTCTATTAGCTTTTGAAATATTCAGTTGAAAGTGTTTTTAATTAGTCTTTCAATCTTTAACATTCTATGCCAAAAGTGACTTGCGTAAGGTTTCAGCTTTAAATTGGTTCTGGTTACCAAAGCACAGCAAACTCATATTCATTTGCACTTCCCTGAAATGGCTTCTCTGAAATGTTGGGCCCAGCATAAGAATTAAATTCCACATGCACTATTTGCAGTTTCATTCTGAAAGACTGTCTGGAGAAAAGCAGGAATGAAAGTGCTCTTTCAGCTACAAGTGCAGTACTTCAGCAAAAATCAAATTTAGCTGTCGTGTGAGGTCAATGGGGGCTTTGTATGTTGAGAGCAAGTGATTCTCTGTTGGGGTGGGGGAGTGTATTCAACAGCTGAAATAAGCTTAATTGCAGGTTGAAGCTGAAAAAGATACTATCAGATTTTGGTTGTCTTCCTGCCTGTACATCTTCCTTGTCTTAGATCTTGAATCCTTCCTCGTCCATAGAGTACTTGCTGTGAGCAGAAGACTTGATTTGTTTCTGTGTTGCTGTTGGCTTTGCAACCCAGAGGTTTGCTCTTGGTATCAATTTCATATGTTTTGGGGAAATAAAAACAAAATGGAGTGGATGTGGGTGTGAGAGGAGATGAGATTTCTCTGGAAACAAATGGGAATGTTGTTTGTGTTTGGCTTTGAATGCGTCTTATGTAAAAGGAGATCTTTTTTACTGTGGCACTTCTTACTACGGTTTCATCTAATTTTGTAATATAAGAACTGGTGAAGTGTTCAAGTATCTTGAAACCCCTTTCCCTCTGGATTTCTTTCTTTTTGTTTGAAATGTATGTTGGTATGACTTAGATTGATTTTATTTTTCAGTAATATTGCTTATCTTCAGCTTGACTTGCAAGAATTAAAATTACCTATGCTTCAGCTTACATTTTAATCGGGAAGTAGTAGACCTAAGTTCATTGTGAATTAAGTATAAGTAATAAGTAACCTTGATATATCCAGTTTCTTAATGTGAAGCTATGTTTTTCTTTCAAAATTTTTGAAAAAGAAGTACAGTTGTGTATTTATGGAGGGGGAAAATGGTAAATTAATTTTGTCTTATGAGATAACATGTGAAATATTATTTGGAAGTTAGACCACTTGATAATAATTGGAGCCTCAGAAACTGGTGGAAATTGTAATTTGTTTTAATTTTCTTGTAATGTCTTGCAAATATCTGTAAATTTGATTAATACAAGCCGGGGAGGGGGAAATGACTCAGTCTTTATAACAAGCAAATATAAGGATGTTGAATAATGCAGCAGCTCATATATCATGTATCTCTTAACTCATATATCTCTTCTCATTTTTATTATATTTTCCCACAAAATTTATAAATAGAAGATTATGTGTACATGGTCTAGTATTTTTGACTGTTAGGGTGATTTTCTCTTAGTGTGTGAAAAATCACAGTGTGGGGTTTGTGGCAAGAAGTCGTGTCGTCTTTCACCAATGACGCAGTGACTAAACAGTGACATGTGAATTCATGTGACTGTTGTTAATTATAATTATGCAGCAAGTAATCCTGTGTTACCATGGCTTGTCTCTATTTTACAGTTCTCATCCACAGTATCAGGCGTTCAGGTTTCAGCATAAGTGTTCCCCTCCTCTGCTCCCCTTACCTGACTGCCAGAAGCAGTAATACTTCCAATATTTAATAATATTACTTTTCTTTTTGGGGTGTATATTGAAAATAAATTGGTGGGGCTGGGAGGGTGGGTCATGCAAAGCCTACATAGAACTGTGTGTGTTATTGGGCAGACTTTATAGACTTTTTGGGAAAGGGCACTGAGTTACCCACAAGTTATTTTTTCTCAATGTTCTTTTTGCTGAGCTATAGGAAATTCCAGATTTTCAAACATCAGCTGTAAAAGAAGGGTTTTCTCAGGCCTCTAAATACTGGGTTGTGTGTATCAATTTCAGGTTTATAGAAGAAGGGAGAATGGCTCAAGAAACCAACCGTAGCCAAGTGCCTATGCTTTGTTCCACTGGCTGCGGATTTTACGGGAACCCTCGCACGAATGGCATGTGTTCAGTGTGCTACAAAGAGCACCTTCAAAGGCAGAACAGCAATGGTAGAATTAGCCCTCCTGGTAAGTAACCCCAGCACACGTGTGTGTGTCAGCAGCTCAACCTGGCACAGTGGGCAGCAGCTTCCTGGCTGTGTCCAGATACCGATTGTTGGAGCATTAGTGCAAACCATTTCATTCCAGCATCTTACCTTCTGGAATGGGTTTGGATGGAACGCTCATAATGTAATTGTGTTGCCACTAATCTGCTCAGAAATAGGCTATCACTAATACCTTTTGTATTCATTTGAGTGTTTCTGATTTGAAATTACAAAAATGCAGAAAAAACACTACAATATATTTTTGCTGAAATTACTGACAGAAATAGGATTGAGTTTGGGGAATGTTTGTGAAAAGCATTTCAAGAACAGGTATTTCATCTTTGTGACCTCATTCTGAAGGATTAACCTGTAAACACTTGATAGTGATGCCTTTGCTTTTGAAGGTTTTCCAGGGCTTTTGTGGACACCTTTCCTTATCTGCCCCTGAAGGCCTTCAAGAAAAGATCTGCTCTTAGATTACTTCCTTACTAAAATTATCTTGAGTTTCATTTCCAGGTTGGGAAAAGCCAACAATGGTTTTTCCTTAACTTCACATACTTTCTGTTCTTTTTGGCCCAGTGCCCTGTGTACTGTTGCCTTTCCTTCAACCTGACCTTTTAAATGGAAGCTGTATCTTCTATTGAAATCTGGGGATCTGGGTTCTACACCTTCAAAATGCATCTGGAGTTGGCATTAGGATGTTATACTGGTGTTCTCACATATCCATCTTGGTTTTTTAAACAAAACATCAGCATCTCATGTCAGATTACAGCAGTTTATGCTGAGAAAACTGCTTATAGATGCTTTAATTAGTAAAAATAGTAACTGCTTCAAAATTTTCTGCAGTATAAATTCTGGGGGCATGGGGCTGGAATGAGGTCAAAATATGGTCAAACATAATTACTTTTTTGTAAAATTAAGTTTCCTTATGGTGTAGGCAGAGATTCAATTACTTTCCTGACTGGTGTTGTAGGGGTCAAAGAGTAAATGCAGTGTGTAACTTTCGTAATCCCAGGAAGCAGCATAACACATTTTCCCTGGGTGTGTCTTGCAGCAGCCTCTGTCAGTAGTATCACCGAGTCCTTACCGGTCCAGTGCACAGAGGGCAGCGCCCAGGAAACTCAGTCCACTTTAGATTCTACATCGACTCCATCTATGCAGCCAAGGTAAGGTGCTTCCGTCTGCTGTGTCTTTACAGAAAAATCTCTGTCAAAATGATTAAATGAAGTGTGCTGATCCTGCATAATTAAATGCTGGAGCCAGGATTAGGAAAAGGTGTAAGATTTCAGTGCTAACTTTAAAGCATGGGATTCAGGGTGAATGCTAGGAGATCTCTGTGCTTCATCTGGCATTCAAATGGAAATTTGTCTTTAGAATTTAGCCTCAAATAGAAGTTGTCAGCTTCTGTTCTACAGAGATTTGTCTGGCTGCTCTTCTGCTTCCTCAACTTTCAGTTGTACATTTACCAAAGGAGAATTCTTTTCATCCTAGAAATGTGAGGATTTTGTAAAATGGCAGGGAGCTGTTTACTAGAGCTCTCATAAATAAATGTATGATAATGTGTTAACAAGCCAGTTGCTTTGCAAGAAGTGGAGAGTACTAGAACAGAGTAATGACACAAGTCTTGGTACAAGTTGTGCTACTGAACTGATCTCTTATTAAACAAGTAATTTCCATCTGGATTATTCAAGGATACATAATGTCCTTTTATAAATCACTCAGACTTACTAAGTGTTCTCCATTTGTAAAAGCTAAATATTTGTTTATATTTAGCAGCTCCATTTCAGTTTAGAATGACACAATCAACAGCAACTTAAGTGCTTTGGAAATTTTGAGTGAAAAGTGTTAGTGTGTTATATACTATGGAAGCTAAACTTGCAGTAATACTCATTTCAACTTTTCTTTAAAAAAATGAATGTAGTAGAACACAGGCTAAGGGGTGATTCCATCAGTTACTGCTGACTGATTCTGCTCAGACTTTTCTGCTCCCTAGCTTTTTATAGGAGGTGTTATCTCATGCTTGGATTCTGCATATGAACTGAGATCTAGGTGCCATGCTTGATGCTATATTTAGTCTTTCCATTCTGAGATTTATAGCTGGGGTAGAAAATACATGTCTTACCCTGAAACAAGTCTTCTGATGTGTGTAAAAAAAAAAGTGCATCCAGGTCAATGCACAGGTGTGAACCAATCACAGTACCTTGCCTTTGTTCTCCCACAACTTCAATAAAATGAAAGAACAGAAGTACCTCACTGATCACTGACTTGATTACTGGCTGCAGGAGAAAGGAGTGGATGGTTGCACCTGAAAAAAATCAGTGTCACTTGCTTGGGTTGTTGTTTTCAAAATAAAAAATAGCAGGAATTCAGCTTCAGTCTCTGGAAGTAATACCTCAGGCTTATGATACTCTGAGGACAGATAAAATTAATTGGCAATGTCCTTTTGTAGGTGGCCAGACGGGCAGTTCAAGACCTACACACGGTTCTTGACAATTAAAATTGCAGCTCCAGTGCTCTGGTTGTGCCATGGAGCGCTGGTTCATGGGCTGCTGGATAATCTGGTTTTTGCCTTCAGAGTGAATTCCTGAGTGGAAAGGAAGAAAACAAATGCAAATGAGATAGTGCTACCTCTCACTTGGGACTTGAGCTCTGTCTTGTTCCATAGGAGAGCTGCTGGATGAGCAGCTTGTCCAGGAGTCATGGCTAGTGTTGAATTGCTCTCTCTAAACTGCTCAGGGTGTTCCTTGGTGAGTGTTCAGCCATGCTGTGATTTAGCAGTATGGCTAAAGGGGTGGGAAGCTTAGCCTGCGCCACTTTACGCTGTGAAAATCCAAGGGGTTCTATGTGCAGCTGCTGCAGCTTTATTACTGAAAACACTGACATGCTGCAATTTTCTTGTTCGTATCACCAGAACACTGAAACTATCTCCTCTACAATTATCTTGCTGACTTCCATTATAAAGATCCTTGCATATTGAATGTTGCATTGTTGCTTCTGTGTGGAATGATGGTATGCCAAACCACCCAAAACATTCTTCCTTTTTTATAGTGGGACTGTTTTGTTGCATTCAGTATGAGTTTAAAAAAAATGTTTACTTTTTGTGTCAGTTCAGATTGTAACAGTTTTAAGCGGTTACAGAAACAACTTCAGAGTGAAATGTTCTGGGATACCTTTTCATCAAGAGGTGTCCTAATGTATCTTACTGGAAAAGAATCTGGAAATGCATAATAAAAATCATAATTTTCTTCTTTTGCCCCTCAGCCCTGTGTCCAGTCAGTCACTTTTAACAGAATCTGTAGCATCATCCCAACTGGATAGTACGGCTGTGGACAAAACAGTACCTGAGACAGAAGAGTTGCAAGGTTGGTGCCTAGTTTTCAGTGACAGCACTTATGAATTATGCTTTTTAAACTTTAGGTGTTCTTAATACACTCCTGTTCAAACATGTCTGATTCTCAAACCTAAAGATTCTGTGAAATCATAAGGCAAAATAAGAATAAAATGTCTTTTCTTAAATGGCAAGTGAAACCAAAACTTTAATTGGCGATGTCAGTGTCTGCCATAAACAGGTGTTTTAATTGGTATTGGAAAGGTACATCATAAATCAACATCCTGTTCTTTCTCTGTGCCATGGCTGTTAGACCTGAGTAGAGTTTTGAGTATCTGTTACTTCTTAGAGTAACCATTTACAGCACATATCAGAAGTTTATGAGTATATTTGTGCTAGAGGGTGTTTGACATAGCCATTGCCAGAACAGGGTCAGTATCTTTTATAAACAGGTAACACCTATAAAAGGATCTTTCATCTCTGAACTGTAGTGGTGTAAGATTTTGAACTACTGAAATTCACTTACCAAATATGAATTTACCAATCCACAGGCTATGTAAAATGCCGTGGCTAAGAGAATTAACTATATTGGCCTAAAATCCTTCTTGCTGGTACAATGTAAAGTTTCTTTTCACTTTTTTCTTGTTTTCTATGTGCAGACTTTCAGAGCTTAAGACTAAAAAATATATTTAATAGTATTTCTTAGGAAATGCAAAAATAGTATACAAAATGTGCTCAGACTGGTAACCTATAGGCATTATGAAAGGTATTTAAAGGTAAGTCAGTAAGTATTCTGCCTTCTGCTGAGACAGTTTAGACTTTAGTGGGGAGGATTATTTTTCTGTTTTTCTAAACATAGAAGTGTGGGTTTTTTACAGATACAACTTGTACTTCCACTTAAACATTATAAATATTAGTTCTTTGACTGTATCTCTGGTATCAAAGCTTTGCTTTTCAGATACTTTTCTAAACCTGACCTGTCCCTTTCTGTAGGATGGAACATAGGTGTTATTAGTCAGCTACTGTGCTGAGTAAGGTTGTCTCCTTGGTTAATAAACCTGGGAGAAAAGCCTTTAATTCTGTTTTTTTGCCACCTTTGCTAACCTTTGAGTTGTCAGTTATAAATATGCTTACTCTTGAAAATATACATTTTAGAGATACACTCTAATGCCTGTTAGGAAGTTTGTGTTCTGGACCCAAGAGCTCTTGTCTCAATTTTGACAATGAATCTATTGGTTTTTCACTGGGAGACAGAGACGGTGCTTTACTTTATTAACCCTGCCACTGAGGTGTCTTGGGCCTGTCAAAAGACTTTACCCAGCAACTTTTCAGAGTTATGTCTCTCTTCTTACACACTTGGGTAAATTTGTGCTGCTTCTAATTCTCCACCTCTCAAGCTCATTCTCCTTATGAGGAGATAAGATTTCTCAACCAGAAACTTTGAATTTAGGGATATATCTGCAGGATCAATGTATATCAGGTGTTTAGGTTACTTATCTGTGTCCTCTGTCCTTTTCTTTGTACCCTCATTTCTAAACTAAGAACATCACCAGCATGTAGTTGCAGTTCTAAATTACCATCCCTATTTATAACTCTCTGGCAGGGTCAGCCTTACTTTCTTAAGAGTTCCTTCTGTGTTGTCCTTTAACTGAAAATCATAGGAAATGTAGTGTTTCCAGTTTTAAAGTTTTTTGATTTGAAAATATAAGTTTGGAAGGAAGGCAGCTTAGAGTGGATGATGAGGGGGATTTCATTGAATTGCTGTCATAGCTGTGCATCCTGAAGTTTCTTTTTTTTGAAATTTGAGTTTTAGGTTGCTGACAAGCATGTAATACAAACATGTGAATCAAAGGGGTTTTTTAGCATTGACTAAGTTTCTAACATTTAGAGAAAAAAAATTTTCAACAGTGTGCTAGTTGGTCCCAGAGTGGTGTGTCTAATAGTACTTGTGTTGATGTAGGGGAACAGGAGAAGTAATGTCAGTATTTATTTTGATAAAATCTTGCCTTGTGGGAATGCCTGTTCTGGGGCGAGTTGTTCTATGCTGCTGGTGTAAGTTTTGTATTGTGTTCAGCTGAGGTCCCCTTAACTCGCCATTTAACAAAAATTACCAGGCTACAACAACATTGAACGAAGGACTGGGTAAATAATTAAGCTTTCTTAGATTACTATTATTACTCTTCTAAAGCAGACAGATAAATGAGACTTGAGCTGCATGCAACACAATCCTTGCTGTTTGCAGTCAAGCTAAAACTACAAAGGGATAAAATTCCCAAAGAGCAGTTCAGATTTGTCTTTGTTGGATTTATGCATTGCAGAAGAAATAGAGGAAAATTCTAAAGTATGTTAATAAGTGTAGACTTTAGAGCTAGTGTTTGTATGATGATGCTTGTGGAACAGTGCAAAAGCCCAGATTCTCTAAGATAAGGACTAATAGAATTTTTTTAACTTTAATTTTCTTAAATACCGTGAACATGCCATTAAAAATGACCTAAAATGAAATTCATTAAGTACAGTCCAGCTGTTCTAGCAGCTTTCTGAGTATGTCTACAAGTAATTGTAATTACCTCTTGGGCTGTTGTACCTTTTGCTCAACATGATGGCCCTGTTTGGATTAGCCAGTCAGGATTCCTGATTTGTTAGCCAGAGGATTAACAGGGCTGCCTTCAGGCAAGCCTGCAAGCAGGTAAAGAGGTGCTTCACTTACCAGGGGTAAAGGAGTTAAAACCATCCAGGTTAGGATTCATACTTCTGGTTCAGGGACGATTTTAAAGGTAAGTGAAACTTGTCATGGAAGGCAGAAGGACTCCACCACAAACATTATGGCGCTCCTACAACTGAAGAACATGGAAGTAAAAGTATAAATCCAACTAATGGATGGATTCAGCCCCTCTGAGGCTGAAAACTTCTGAGATTGAAAACAGCCTCTGTGATTTTCAAGCCTGTTGTAAATTGGAGAGGAGCATGTACTATTAGCATTGCAAAATGCCATCGCTCACGTCATGTGGTGTGGTTATTATTTGAAAAACCAAAGTACAAAGTTAGATTGGAATAACTGTCAAAAAGGTACATGGCTGTTCTGAATGAAGTCACTTGATTTTCTGCATATCTGGATTTTAGTGAGGTTAAACAGTGAAGTTCAAGCTATGTGTAAAAAAATTGATATTAAAATAAATGAGGTTCCTACAGAATTTTATGTTGGGGTTACTTGGGCCTAAGGTGAATTCAGTTGAGCTGATGGATTCAGCTTCAGTTGGCCTTATCAGGGTTGGCTCAGTTGACAGTACTGGAAAGGAATTGATGGATGCTTCTCACTTTTGTGACAGTACCAGCAACTCAGAGGTAGAGTATGATTATGATACAAGTGTATCAAATAATACAGCATATTCTGATATACTGTATGAATGCTCCAGGGGGAGAGGAAACACTCAACAGAAAAATTTAAAACTAAATTCTGTGAGTGAGTGTGCTCTCACTTAATTTGTTTTGAAACAGTGTATTTTAGGCTGATTGTCAGTTTAAAATGTTCACAAGTAGTGATATTCACCTTTGGATTGACTTCACATTTCACTCCTTTGGAGGTGTGGGGGTTCTTACTAGGGGTAGTGAAATGTCCTTAAGAAGTCAATGTAGCTCTTCATGCTCTTCTGTAGGAGTGAGAAACCTTTTTCTTTTAAAATTTCTGCCACTAATGCAGGGTGATGAATATAAAACATTGAGAGAGAGAACAGATGAGGCATGGGATGTCTTGCTGCACACACAGAGCTGTGTTGTGCCTGCAGGGGTGCAGAGGCTGGAATGCATTTTGCCATGTGGCTGCTGTTTCTGTGGTCAGTCAGAGCACGCTGAAGCTCAGGCAGGGGTTTGCACAAGCAAAGCAATAGGAAAAGTTTGTGCCTTTAGGAAGAAATCCAGGCTCTGCTTGTTTTGGTCAGCTAGGAACATGTTCTCTAAATAGGGAACTTCTAGTGACCAGCCCCACTTGTCAACTCCAGAAATATGACTGTATTTATACTTTACTCTTTTTTGGTTAGTTGGAAGCTTGTACTGCTGCTTCCAGGGCTTCTGTTCTTGGGCTGGGGAAAGGGATGACTTGGTTCAAGGAGAGCAGGCAGCAGCATCCTGGAATCCATATAAAGTCCAGCAGTTGGGAGTGGCTGCACCATATTTCCTGCAAGCTCCAAGCTGGACAGTATTGCATCTTACCTGGCTTTTTTCTGCTGTGGTCATCACTGGTAGCTTATAGACTGAACAGTGGCACTTGGTCATCTAAAGTGGTTGGGATATTTGTGATTATCATAGAGGATTTTGGTCCATATCTCTAGCTTCTATTCAAGAGCAACTTGAGACCTAAAATTTATGGTTACTACAGTAGATACAAAGTGACTTGTGGTGCAGTAGAAGAATCTTCCCACTCGGTTCTACACTGAGCAGTAACTCTTAAATATTTTTAAACCTTTTTAATGTGAGAGCCATACGCACAAAGAAGATGTAAGCAAGGGCGTATGAGAGCTTTGTTAGCAGGGAAGAGTGCCAATTTTTCCTAAATTTATCTAATAGTTACAGAGGCTCTTAGTGAAACTTAGATTGAGGTAACTGGATTTTGCTACAACAGGAAATGCAAGTTGGAGAATGTTAGCTCATGGCATTAATACATCTTAATGAATTAATAAAGACTGCAATATCTGTTTTCTGTGAAACTACAAAAGTTCGTTTGAGTAAGTCTTGCCCCTTCTGGTACTTACCTCACCTCTTTTAGTCCTTGCTGATTTTGGTTCTTGCTTTGCAATCCTTTTGATATTATGTCAAATCAGAAATGTACCCTTTAACAGCCATTTAAAGCTGTTGAACCTTTTTTGTTTTGCAAACTATGAATTGTTATAAATTTCAGGACAAAGAAGCTCTGCTTGTAACATAGATGGTGGCTGAGAATGATTTAATAGACCAGGTATAATAGTATCTTTGCTAGATTAACCTGTGGAATATACTGTCCCCTCAGGCAAAGTCTTTGCTGGTGATCAGGTATCTTGCTATCCACTGATGTTGCTTAGTACAATGTTTTGATACATAGTGAAAGTGATGAGTGCCCTTTCCTTTAAAAAAAAAAAAAAAAAAAAAATCCAAAAGATCAGAATAGCAGCACATGAAAAACCCCACTGGATTTGTCATGCAGAAGAGCTGTCAGCTGGTGAAGAGCTAGCACAGAACTGCATCTGACAGTCTCTGACAAACAAAAGTCCAGCTGCACAGAGATGCCTGCAGCTTTTTCCCTGACAATTGTCTGAGCTTGCTGTTGTATTCCCTTCCTTACAGCACTGGTTCTAGCTCTGCTTCCATCCACACTCCTCCCAGCTGGAGCTTGCTTTTGTTCTTTGCTGCAAATACTCCCAACTTCTGTGTGTCTTACTCACTGGAGTCTTGTTCTGCTGTGGTCTAGCTAGGTCTGGTAGGCAGAGGTTGGCTCTTAGCCCTTCTTGAAATGAAGTTGGGTTTTTTTTTTTTGTTGCTATTTCTGCTTTGTAATGTAAGGAATCTGCAAATACTTGAGGAAAACCAGCCAACTTCTATTTTTACCTGACTCAGGCAAATACTACTATTACTTGTTCATACTCTCCCACACAACCTGTAACCCATTTCTTTTAGATGTGAGAGAGCACTAAAGTAGGTTTAAAGATGCCTTAGGAGAAATGTCTTTAAAATTAGGTTTTTACCTGCTTCCTTCTGGGCTCCAAGTCTTGGTCTCTTGAGCTGGTGTTTCTCACCCCAGGTAGTGATTTATGTCATGTGTAGGCTTTTTCCAGGTGTGCAAGAGCAGCAGCATCACACTGGTAGGGATTGTAATGAAACACTGTGTTTTGCGTGGCCTCTGTGTTACAATCTTCAGCAAAAATAATGTTGATTCAGGATTTGAAAGAGGGTGTTTGGCTCAGCTGATCCTGTTGCATAGAGTGCTTCTTGCAAGCAGATTTTGGGAGCTGGGCGAGTAACACTGTGCTCGGGAAACACTTGGCTGTTGGATTTTCTTCCTGTATCTGACAGTACTGAAGCTTGCTGTTAAACTTAATGTTTACTGTTTTGGTTGGTTTTGTGGTATTTTCAAGGATTTGGTGTGTTCTTTTCTTAAGTTACATCGAAGGTCTAGAAGGAGGGAGTTCCAGTTGCTACGGAGAGACCAATGCACTTCAGATATGGAAGCTGCAGCAAAATGGCCAAATGCACAACATGGGCTTTAGATTATTGTAGGGCTTAAAAGGGCAGAGACAGACTTTTTTCTCCACTGTTCTTACTAACTTTTTTAATGTCAGCTTCTGTGTCAGAGAATGCAGAGCCTGCACCTGAAGAACAGGACAAGTCACTTGACAAACCAAAACAGAAAAAGAATCGTTGTTTCATGTGCAGGAAGAAGGTTGGACTGACTGGTAAGAAACATTGATTTCATTTTTCTTAGACTTGATTAGGCTTGGGCCCTTTGAAATGTCATCTTAGAGGGAAAATAGGGCATGGTCATTTGATATTGTTTTGAAATTACAGTCAAAGGTGCTTTCAGCTGACTCTTACTAGATAAGTCATTCATGTATCATTTTGTTTTACAGCCTCCTGTCTTAAAGTGAAGTTCATAATTCCAAATACTTCCTTTTGGAAGTCTGCTTAGCTGAGGAATTGGATGATAGCTTGTTGCCATTCACTAGCCAGCTTTGCAGTTGTCCTGTGAAAGGGCTTGAGTTCTGGAGGGTGAATATTCATAAACATAGCAAAAGAGCAGACATTCTCTAGGAATGTTCTGTGCTAGAGTGTCATGCAAAAAGAAGGAATAGTCAAGTCAAATCCTACTGTAATCACTTAAAAATGCATTACTTGTGATTCTTATGCTTTCTGCAGCAGAGCTCTTTGGCTGATTGATTGACACTGGTGACTGAGATTTATTGCTAGTGAGTGAACACATTCAGGATTTAAAGCAAACCAGTGCCATTATGAATGTTGAAATGCCTAAGCAGCTGTTTCTGTCCACAGGGTTCGAATGTCGGTGTGGGAACGTTTACTGTGGGATGCACCGTTACTCTGATGTACACAGTTGCTCTTACAATTACAAAGCTGATGCTGCTGAGAAAATCAGAAAAGAGAATCCTGTAGTTGTTGGGGAAAAGATCCAGAAGATCTGAACTGCTGCTTCTGCTGGAATACAAAAATCTTCTGACCATCTGCAGATTAAATTGACTTGAGCTTTTTTCCTTAGTCATCAGGAACGTAGAGCAGTGTATCTTGCCTAGACCTTTTAATCATGCATGTCATCAGATGAATAGATTTTTTTGTTTTCTTTTTTTTTGTTTTGAAAATGACTCTGAACATTATTTTCATTGCAGTTTTCTGTGGCTGAAGACTTAAGTAAACTTTACAAGTATTATCCTTTAAGATCATTTTAATTTTAGTTGAGTGCAGAGGGCTTTTATAACAAACATGGAGAAAATATTGGAGGGCTGTGCTTTTCCAGGATAAAACATGCATGCGTTAACTTTGCAGTTTATTTTCTTGTTGTATATAGCTTTTCTCTGCAGCACAATTTCCTTTTTTTTTTTTTTTAATTGATAATGCCTTGTATGGCACAACTAGTTATCAGTAACTGAATGTATTTTAATCATTATGGCTGCTTCTGTTTTTTTTTCCCCATTAACGAGAGGTTATACATGTTGGCATATTAGCTTGTTTGCACCCTCTACCTATTTATGTATGAATCATTTGTAATGAGAGTGTGTGCTGAGATTGTGTGGGGTTTTTTGTTTTCTTTTTTTTTTTTTTTATTTTTTTTTGTTTTTCTGTACTGTTAAGGTTTATTTGTTTGGGTTTACTGCAGATGGCTGCTTCTGTTTTTTTTTCCCCATTAACGAGAGGTTATACATGTTGGCATATTAGCTTGTTTGCACCCTCTACCTATTTATGTATGAATCANATTGGGGTTTGTTTTTGTGTGTGTGTGGGGGGAAGGCTGTATGCACGGGGGGGACTGCAGTTTTCATTGGGATTACATCCATCAGTTTGTCTGTACACAAATATGAAGAATGATCTGAAGTACCTGTGCTGTATTTATGTTTATCCACGTCTTAACTTTGATTAAATAAAATTTAAAAAAATCCGAGCCCCTGTGGCTGTCACTGGCATATGTAAGTTGGTTTTCTCTTGCTTTATTTTAGTAGGGACCTTCCATTGATGGTTCCTTTACTTAAAGTGTATTTATTCACAGCTACCACATGTATCCCAATGCCAGCTAAATTCTGATGTTTTTTTTATATTTTCACCTGTAACTACCAGAGACACTGCAGATTCCAGATGTTGTCTGTTGGTTTTAAAATTCAGAATGTTCTTAAAAAGCTGTGGCTGGCAATTAGTAGATAAAACACTACATTTAGGATATAAACTGTGCAGCAGAAGGAGCGTTCTCTGGTAGTTAGAGAAAGTAATCTGCAAGACTGAATAATAAATGGAGTAGCTTGTGCTTGCAGAAATGGCCTAACCACAATCTAGGAGGCACATGGAGCTTATAGTAAAGGAAGGAAGGAATAAATAACTTACTGGCAAGTTTCAGTAATGGTCTGCCTTATCATGGGTCAGAGAGCCTGTATTTCCTCAGAGCATTTGCTAAACTTCCTCTTACACAGCCCAGAGTGTGGAGGAGCAGCAGTGTCACCTTTGGTGGGTGTTTCTGTTTGCTTTCCTCTTTGCTGCTTCCCTGTTCTCTATCCTTCTCACTTTTGAGTTCTCCTTCTTCCCTGTTTCTGGTCTCTTTCCTTCTGTGCCCTCCTGACCAATCTGCCTTACACCTGACAGTGATGCTTCTGGGTTAGGCAGAGAGAACACATCATAGATTTCACAAGGTGGGGGAAAACCTGGTATATTTGTGTGTTCTGGTGCCTGAAAGAAGGAAAGGTACAAAAAAACTATTCACATACTTCCTATCTGTTGTATAAGCTTATGTTTAGATGTCCACTGGATGACACAACCTGAGAATTGTGTGTCATGTTTGTTTGCTTTGGCATGCCCCTGTGTTATCCTGGTGGTTGATCTGCACTTCAGTCTGTATTTGGTGTCATCAGTTTGAGGTTAGCAGATTAACATCTTAATTAACACCAGCACATTCACAGTGCTACAAAATGCTTGAGTCTGTCTCCTCATGTTGGACACTCTATTGGAACAGGTTTTCAACATGGTTTTGTTTCAGTTTTGGAATAAGCAGTTTCTATAGCCCAGATCTTATAATGTGTCCACAAAACCTCTTCACTGTGTTTAAACATTTCCAACAGTCAGGGGAAATCTTACAGGAAATCTTCCACAAGCTAGGCATTGTGATGTTTAAATAAGACCCCTTTTTAAACAGTACCTTGTGGGCTTCTGTCTCAACAAGTGAGCAGCTGTCACAGATGATGCTGTTATATCATCTTGCACTGAATCTCTGGCTGTACCATTTGCTGCATTTCTTCTAATGACTCCTCTGCCAAAAAGAAAAAAAAAGGTTGATCAGCAAACCAGTTCTTTGGATTGGCAATCACAAGTGTCTTCCTGTTTTTATTGGAAAGATGTGGCTCTTGCTATTTAGTTCTAATTTCAAGGATGTTCCCTCATTGGTTTCTACTTCTGACAATGAGTGAATTTTTGGCTGCAAGTGGGAGAATGCTGGGACTGGGAGCAGAAGCACCAACTTCCCTGTTCTTTTATTGTTGGCTGCATATATGTATCTGGTTTTAAGATGGTGGAACTATCTGGAGAAAATGGAAGAACTTGATGAGGTGCAGCAGCATTGCAAAACTAAAAACCACAAAAGGTGCAGTTTCAGGTGTGAATTGTGCAACTTCCCAAGGCCTGCTGAGCTTGTGCTGGGAGAATCAGTGTGGGCATAATCATTTCACCAGGGCCCTGGCACATAAGTGACCCCTCCAAAGTTAAACCAGGGCAGTTACCTCTGCTCTTAGAGCTGTTGGATCCTTCACCTTCAGCAAGTTACAGGAAGGCCTCAGTTTCATGTGAGAGTGTAAAATCATGGAAGTGTTAAGGTTGGAAAAGAACATCGAGCTCAACTGCTAACCCAGCGCTGCCAAGTCCACCCCTGAATTAAGTGCCACATCTACACATCTTCCAAATACCTCCAGGAAAGGTACCTGTGAGGAGGAAGACCCCCTCTCACCAGGGTCACTGCCTGGCTGGAACAATTAACAGTGCTGACTCAGGCAAGCCTCTGGCACTGATTAACCACTGCCAGGGCCCAGGCAGGGGGTGGGATGGCCACGGAGCAGCGATTGGTTTGTGCCCGAGGACAGGGTGGGATTTGATGCCCCTCTGCTCTGGGTTACAGCAGCTGGAGAGGATCTTCCTCCACAGGTGGGAGCTGTGTGTAAGGGGCTGCTCGGGGTTCAGCATGTCTTTCATCCAGGTAGACAAGGACTCAGATTTTCCTATCCAAAACCTCCCCTACGGGGTTTTCTCCACGAAGGAGGAGGTGAGTAACAGCAAACTTTGTTCTTGTGCTGTTGTAATTGTTCCAGGGCTATGAGAGAGCAGAATTTCCCAGCAGTGTGGGACAAAGGGAGACTTCCCAGCCTGAGACACTCATGGGCTTCCTGACCTGATGGCAAAGCTGTAGCTGGCACATTATCTGTTTCCTTAGTGTGGGCATTTTGATTACAGCTTCTTTGAAACCGCACAAAAGAAATCGGAAGTGTTAATACTGATGAGAAGTACTTTGGCTAATATGTGCAGTAGTTCTTGTATGGTTTTCATAATTTCTGTGACATCATTAAATCTATGTTTGACCCTTCCACTCCCTATGTAGAGGCACAGCACATTTCACACTCAATTTTTTTGTTTTTAACTCAATCTTAATTTTCTCTGTGACTGTAATCACACCATCACCCTTAAAAAGTCCCAGTAACTACTGCTCTTGGGGAGTTTTGTTGGTGGCTGCCAAAGCATTAAACCAGGGCACCAGATGTGTGTTTTATCTGTTTTTGCAGCTGACCCATTGTGTTCTATTGAGTGTGTGTTTATGCAATGCTGCATTAAATGTGTGCAAATGTGTCATGTTCAAAGCTGGGCTCAAAGTCTGCCAGTTCAGCCAGCTCTGGGCCTTCTGTTTTATGATGATCACAAAAGAAAATGTGGCTCAACCTTTCTGCCAAGGAGGTAGCTCTCAATTCCCAATTTCCATGAGAACTGAGCCCAGCTAGGCTGAACCTCACACATCTGAGCCTGACAGGATGGAGCTCCAGAGATGTGTCCTTATGGAGGTAGGGAAACAAGCCAAGAGCTGCTTCTCAGAAGGAAAAAGTGGAGAATTTATTTGTCATTGCTTATGGAAACTTTGTGATTATCTTTTGGTTTCTGCTAGTTATCTGTGTAGATTAAAAAAAAAAATGAACCAGAAGATTGTATTTTCTGATGTGGTATTTTCTGAAGAGAAACTGAGATGGTGTGTTTAATCTAATCCGAGATGTGTGTGCTGTTATCTAGCAATTTTGGATTATTTTTCTGCCTTCCTCAGTAACTGTTCTCTGAAAAAGACATCTTCACTCAAACCCTATGAAATGACAGGCAAGACTTACAGAAATTATTTAGGAGAATAATGTTCTGATAGTAGCTGAATGTTTTAATGATTTCAGGCTAAAACAATTGGTGTCATTCCTGTCTATCCCAGTTACAGATTAACCTGACATGACCTTTAGTTTTTTTCTGCAGGGATGTTTGCTGAATAAATGCCTACTACCACATTTGGAATCTTATTTGGAAATGAAAGGTTGAAAAATAGGTTCAATAGCGTGCATCTTTGAAAATGATTATTTTGGTGAGCTGCTTTTCAGAGTGGCTGTAGTAGTTTGTCTCTCCTTGCCCACAGACACAAATAATGGAGGCTGTGGTGTGTTTTTGGCCCGTGCAGCTGCCGTGGGTCTGTTGGTGCTGCTGCCCCGCCATCGCCGCCAGCTCCACACACACCCAGGGCATGAACAGGAGCTTTGTGTCATGGGCTGCATCTGTCCTGTTTCCCATGTGGGGGATGCTGTTCCTGCAGCCAGGATCCAGCAGGGATGCAGGCTGGGCTCGGTGTGCGGCTCCTGAGCTCCTGCTGCGGTGTGAGGATGGGCAGTGTAGGGCAGCCTCATCCAGCGAGGCACAGAAATCCTGTGCCTGGGCAGGGAGTGCCTCCTGGTATCACCAGGGGAGTCTAGAGCACCCTCAGTCCTCTGGGGAGGAGCTGGGGTGCAGAAATGGTTGTTTCTTCAATGGCATATCCACAGGGATGGAATTCACCCTGCCCATGGCCTCTCCCTTCTTCCATTCCCCACTTGTAGAAGGAGCAGTAGTGTTTTCCTACTTCACAGCATATTGCAGATGTATGGGCTTATTCTGCAATGCATGTTGTTAATGAGGGGTGTTAATGAGCAAATCCGCCTCTTTCTGGGGAAAAGAGAGCAGGGAGAGAAACCTCTCCTTGTAGTGCTATCCTTTCTCCAAAAGATGGGGATGAGGCTCTTTTCCACCCCTCAAGGTCTGCAGTGAGTCTCCAGTGATGCTCTGCCCATAGGGGTTAACATTTTTCAGCAGCCAGCCTCAGACTGGCTCTTGAAGGTCCATTGCTGTGGTACCAGACCTTTGTCCT